AAAAGAGAGAATGTGTGTCAGAGTAACAAGACTTCAGTGTCTTGTTGACCCATATCTAACTGGAAATGACCCTTATCTAAAGGCATAAAGGTCCCTTTAGTTGTCACAGAACAACTAACTATATGACTCAAAGTGAGGTGATGGAAATGAGGGCCATTCCCGAACTTTAGTTTTGATGGGAACACCTGTGGAGTCTGGAAAAGAGACTAATTCCTGCCTTTACTGGAGAAATTCTGATTTAGCAGACCTAGGGTGAGGTTCAGGAGTCTGCATTTTTAACAAAAGATTCTGATCCCCATGTGAGTCTTATTCAGGTTGTCCAAAGACCATACCTCAAGAGACACCTGACAGGCTAAATTGCAGAGGATTATGACATTTTCCTAAAGATATGTGTTATATTTAGGATCTGGAATGCACCCCAAAATCTCATGGGTTGAAGGCATTGTCCCTTGATTATGGCATTATTGAGATAATCCCATCAATAGTAGAAACTTTAGAAGATGGGGTCTACTTGGAGTAAATGGGCCATTGGGATGTCTTTCAAGGGTATATCTTGCCCTCTTCTTGATGTTCTGCCTCACCAAAGACTCAAAATGATCAAACCAAAATGACAGTGGACTGAAAACTCTGAAACCATGAGCCAAAATGCATCTTTCCTCCTTTAGGTCGATTTTCTCGGGCATTTTGTCACAGCAACAGAAAGCTAACACAATATACGCAGACCCATTTGATTCCAGGTTCAGGCTGACATGTTAGGTTGTATCTTGAACATGTCTGATTGAAGAGGCTGGTTTTTTCCCTCATTCTCCCACTGTACCCCAACAATGCCCCAGCCAAAGCCCAATGGATGTCAGTTCAATCATGAAAATGAAGTATGTGGAGAATTCAGGCATCAAGCCCACTCTCAGAAAAACAGTTTTGGGGAATATGCCAAGGAATCCGTAGGATGTTCTGCTTCTGGAAATTGATCAACTTGAGCAAATTTTAATTTGCCTTCTGGTTTCACTGATTTGTATATATTTTGATAACATAAAAACAATGCTTAATCTCCAAAGGGGAAGCACAAGATTATGCTGAGAAAAACAATCATACATGCTAGCAAGAATATTTAAAACTTTTGCCAATAAACATGAACATCCTTTCTGAATTTATTTTACTCAAAAGACTTTCTAAATTTTTGGAACAGGAAGGATACAGTTGGGTAAACTTAGGAGAAGTTGAAAGTGTTGGCATGGAATCAAGCTGGGAAAAGTGCCTGCTTGTTTTGTGGGGTGTGTATGGCACTAGAATTGGGGTCTCAGTCTCATGATGATGATTCCATTGCCTGGAATACAGAATGACTCAATAGGAAGCCCATGTGAGCAAGACTTTGTTTTCAAGGGGTCCTCTGGGCCCCAAACATTTGTCTTTATGCCATGTGCCAACCCCAGGAGCCACCAAGGTATATAAGTGGTTCTTTACTGTTCAGACGTTTTCCCACATGGTCTGGAACCCTTGGCTCAGTAGACAGCCTTGATTTGAAGTCTGCAGACCTGTGTTTGCATTCCTGCCTGACCACTTATCAGAGATTTTTGTTCCACTTGCAAGGTATGTTGCCTTGGGGAACCTTTGTTGCCTGTTTTATAAAACAAATAATGAATAACTTGCAAAAATCACAAGGCATGAGTACAAGCTCAAAGAAAATGTTGCAGGTACCTAAACTTTATAATATTATATAATTTATACATGATATGATTAAATAATGGCTAATAAAGATGGTAATATCATTATTAAGACACTATTGAGAGAAAGCCTAAGACAGTATTAATTTGTTCTTTTCTTTTGGTAAATTGGAACTAGAGATAAAAGGTTCTCTTGGAAGGGGCAGAACCAAAACAGGTCATTACAATCCAAAAAGTGGAATAGCCATGAGAGGTCTGCATATACTTTTAGGGGAGGCAGAGTTGTCTGTGGTATCTGCCGGGGTGCAAGGATGTGGGTGTTCCCTAGGTATGCTGTCACTAAGAGGTGTCCCTCAGATGCCACCACTCTGTAGAGGCAGACAATGGCGTCTGCTGTTATCTCTTTGGGGAGTGTGCAGAACTGATATGTTATGGAAACACTAATTGTAGGAAGAATCAACATCACTGGGCAGAAAATACACCAGCACATCCATGGTTTTTGATCTCTTTAAAGAATATATTATGTCCAAAGCAACCAGATAAAAGAGAGGTGGTATAATTTATAAAATGCAGCATGTCCTAAAGTGGGCCTACCATATAAGTAATTTAGATAAAAGTGAAGAATGTCACTTACGAGCAAAACTATAGAACCAGGGCGAAATCATAGAGCTCAGTGACAACATTTCCTAACATCATTAGACAGCATATGCCTCTGGGGGTATTTGTGTTTATATATTGATATAAATAGCAGCTGCTTGCAATGAGTTCTGACAAAGGTGGGATGTGGTGGTGGGTGGAGCTGTTGATAGGGTGTTGCATGTGGGCCAGCCTGCACCTGTGAAGGTGGGGCCCCAGAAAGCCATAGCAACCCTGAGTTCCTTTACATTATTAGATTCAAGAGATTAAGAGTGGATATTTTTAGTTTCCTTCTTTTTAAATTTTTATTTTTTTATAAATTAATGATGTAAAAGTAATTTAAATAGAAAAAAACCCAACCCAATCCTCTCTTTTCCCCTGATATTTATATTAACTTCCAATACCATTGTATCACTGTGTCATTAATATTTAATTTAATGACCTTCACTGGTTATAAACCATCATTTAAGATGGTGATACAATATTTGAAGATCTCTGTTCTCTCTCCTAGGTCTCTTCTCACTTCTCCACAGGGAGGAGATCTGATTTGGCCACATGGGCCAGGGGGTTTGTCACTGTCCATTAAAGCTTCCCCCTGTCTTGCTCCTCCTGGTAGGTCACCAGCCACCTTGTCTCCTTTGCCACTTATGCTACACCTTTTCTTACTCTCTATGCTCTCCTATGGCCACCAGGTGCCACAGGGTCCTGAGATTCAGCTTAGCTCATGGTGGTAGTGGTGATGGTGATGGTGATGGTGAGGAGGGGTGGGCAGGGATATAATAAGGAAGCCTTTGAGGTCCCTAGGTCACAATTGGTACTTCAGGTTCACCATGGTTCCAAGAATGAAAACAGGGCCTCAGACCCCATCTGCATTTACGTCTCTCCTTTTGTGTTTACCTGGGGAGAGCAGTGTGACTAGGGTCCATCTGGGTCAGAATCCTAATATTCGGTCCATTATATTATTAGAATACCATCAAAACTGCTTTGTTTCCTAACATTAGGCCCTAAAGATAGTATTACTATTGGTTTTGGTGCCCTGATTGTTGGATGATGGTTCCTAATTCTCACCATTGTGAAGCAGCACTCTGATGGTTACCTTTTTGCCTCACCCCTCCCCATTACACTGTAGAAAGTGGAATTACTGCATCCATGAAATTGAACAGTTTTATATTTCTCAATGCATGGCACCAAATCACCATGCAAAATGAGAGTGCTAATATATCCCAGCATTTATAAAAAAGCTAAGTTTTACTGACCCCATCCCCCACTTTGTTAAAATATGCAGGGAAAATAAAACTCAGAATTATTGGTCTCTTATTTTTAATAACTTTTATTTACTTCAATATAGGGGGAGGAGTAGTTTAACTTCTTTTTTATAAAAGCTATTCCTTCAAAATTTTTCTTTAGATTTTTTTTCTAGAGATTCTTTGAATAGCCATAAAGGAAAGGAAACTCCTTATTCTTTGAGGGTGTATTGTTTCAAAATGATAAAGATATTTGGAGTCACATGTGGCATGTAAAATGGTTGGTTATGTTGGGTAAACAATGTTTTAAAACTATAAATTAGATATTATAAAGTAATGACTCTGTGTGTGTGTGTATGTGTGTGTATGACTTAGAACCTACCTTTAAAGGCAGTTCTAAAACATATTCAAGATTTGTTTTGAGTAACTCTATTGGATATAGTTGCATTAAACTTATTCATGCATTTTTCATTTTGTACTTTCTTGTGGGGTCAGTCTCACCATTTTTCACTAGTGGCATACATTGCCAGGGGGAATATTAGAATTATTATATCAAGGACGCAGGAAAAGAGGCAAGCTTTTGAATTCCAAAATTGGAGATTGAAGTCCACTGTGAGACTTCATTGGGAGAGAAAAGAAATGTCTAATTTCATGTTCTAATATATCCTCTCCTAATATAGCCAGAACAATCTTGCAGGTCGGAGCATATTTTTAGCCCTTTCTCAGTTGGAAGAAGACAAAGAGAGGAAGAATAGAACAAAGCCATGTTGTGATGGTTCTATCCGCATTCCAGGGATGAGATGGGGAAGCCAGATGCAAGCACCTTAAAGACATAGATGCAGAGGGCTCAGGAACACTGACAGTTTCCTGAAGAACTCCAGATCCAACAACAGCACTTGAACAAGGTGGTGACAGACATGTCTAGAGAGCGGTAGGGAGATGTCCAGCACATGGACCTGTGATGGTCCTTGGTCATCTATCTTTTGTCTATGTCTAATGCTATGATGTGAAGGTGTCATGGTCTTCAGGGAACAGGTAGAGGCTTGGAGTCTGGACAAAGAGGCTTAAGAGTACCTAGGATTGGAGACAAATGCAGCGGACCTTGGAATACAGTAACATCCAAGTATTCCCAGGAGAAGACGATGGTACACTTTGGGCACAAACACACAGCCCAAACTAGAGTAGCTGCTCACATGTGTAAGAGTGGTCCCAGGGAAAAGTGCAGGACTCCTCACTGCCACCATGAAATTGTATGTTCCTCTAGTGAACAGACACCATCAGGTGAACTTCCTAACATTTTGGCTGTGTGTTTTTAGATACTAAGGATGCTGATAAGGTTGAAGTAAGAAAATGTTTTCTCAAATGGAATACTCTATAATTTCATTCATCCCAATTTTTGTGTATCATCCAAAATGTGGGTTGGTCATACAGGGAGTGTGCATGTGTCTGCTTTACTCACCTGGTTCTCTTTCAGTGTTATCTGCCCCTGCTCCTTACAGCCAATGAAGGTTCTAACACATCTAAAAATCTTCTCGTTTTGTTGTACTCTCTGAACAAAGTTGGCTGGAAAGAAGCCGATCCTGTCTTGAATTTTCCCCTGAAAGGAAAAAAAGGAGACATTCATTTCCATTTGTGACATTTATCGTAATTATAATTACCAAATGATTTTTTTTTCCTTTTAAAGAAAGAGAAATACTTGCTTTCCACCAGTCTTCATTGGAATCTTCTAGAAGAGTAATTATGTCTCCTGGCCTAAAATGGAGAATGAATGAGTTGGGTGGGGAAATAGGAGGAGGAAAAACATGAAAAACAAAAGACATATATGATACTTTGAAATCAGTAGTTTTTTTCATTAATGCAAATAATCCCACTATAAGTAGAAATAAAATAAACATGACTTTTACCAATTCTTCGTACCCAAGATAGAAAGCAAACACACTTTCTACACTGTATGTAAAAAATAATCCTTATTTTCATTTCAACACATAGATGATCATATTTTCATTAAAAAACTCCAAAATTTAGAAGTCAAGAAGTTTCAAGGTGCAATTCCCCCTCTGTCCCACAGTTCTCCTCCCATCCTCCCATCCTTAGATGATATGTAGCTAAGTATATGTATTTTTTAAAAAATTATTCTTGTTAGAATACATGACAGTAGATTGTATTTTAACATGTTATACATACACGGAATATAACTTATTCTAATTAGGATCCCATTTTGTTTGTTTCTCTTCTTTCTTTCTTTTTTTTCATTTTGGTGCTGGTGATTGAACCCAAGGCCTTGTGCATGCAAGGCAAGCACTCTACCAACTGAGCTATATCCCCAGCCCCAGGGTCCCATTTTGTAGTTGTACATGATGTGGAGTTACACTGGTCGTGTATTCATATATGATCATAGGAAAGTTATGTCCAATTCATTCTGCTGTCTTTCCCTTTGTCTAATCCAATGAACTTCTATTCTCCCTGCATCCTCTATTGTGTGTTAGCATCCACATATCAGAGAAAACATTCAGCCTTTGTTATTTTGGGTATTTTTTTGCTTAGTGGTAACATCTATAATTAATTGGTCATTCTCTTTATGATCATCTATCTCTTTGTGATCTCTTTATTATCTCCTTGTTATCTCTTTATGATCATCTATAAAGTCTCAATAACTTCTTGAAATCTAGCACACTTTTGCGTAGTCCTACTTTGCCTCCTTGCCACTTTGATATTGAGATAATTTGGAGTCTTGTCCTAGACTTGCGTGTGTTTGTGTCATTCATCAAGAATGACTTGGGTTTAGCTGATGACTGAGTGTTTGTGCTGGTTTTGGTGTTGTAGATGTGGTTGTTGTTTGCTATTTCTTGCCTTACCCCCCTGCCCCCCGCCAATCCAGGTGTGGGGATAGGTAGAGGAGAGAGAATGTGTGCTTTGACTCCTTTCTCTCAGTACTTGCTGGAGCCTTTACAATCCCAAGACTTACTTTTCCCCTTTGGAAATTTCTGTAAACTTTTCTCTGCTGTATGTTTCACTGTTTTCTCTCATCTTTCCTTCGGGAACTTCTAGTCAACACATGTTGGACCTTTGGGATCCCTCTCCATACCTTTTGTTTTTCTTATATATTTCCCATTTGTTTTTTTTTTCTCCCTCTGTATTAAATTTTTTTTCCTTATTTTTATCTTCCTCATCATTTATTTTGTGTCTGGGATCCTCTATTTTTTTATCTGAATACTAAGAATTTTTGAACAAAAAAAGCTAGCAAGTATTTTTCAAGTGTTTTTAGAAAAAAAAAACTAATATTCAAGGGTTCTTAGTTGCTGAAATTTCTTTTTTTCTTTCTTTCTTTTTTTTTTTTGTTTGATTGGAGATTGAAAGATCAAATCCAGGCACTCTATTCACTGAGCTAAATCCCCATCCCTCCCCCTTCTGTTTTTCTTTTGCACTATAATTTCTCTAAATTGCTGAGGCTGTCTTTATTATTTTCTGAAAAATATCTGACAGTTGCTTTCTATGATGAATGCAATGTTATAATGGATCTTTTGAGGACTATTATGTTTTTAAAGCCACTATTTATTTCCTTCATTGAAGTTTTTCCTGTAGAATCAGTTGCCCTGACCTTTATCTTATCACTTCTCCTTCATGTCAAAGGATCTTCTTGAACATCTGGCATTTCTTGGTTGTCTCTTTATATTAACGACTGAGATGGAGGCAGGTGGATGTGGCCAGCTGGGTGGGCTTCTCTGCTATTACACCCATCTGGTCTGCCCTGGGTCTCTCTCCCAAGCATGAGGGCTGTCTACAGGTTCTGCTGAAGGGAGTGGGGTGTGCCAAGCAATGCATCTCATTTCCGTAAACTCGAAAATATAGTGTTAAGCAGTTTGGGGTCTCCTCTGCTAGCTCAGTGGGGAAATGAGGAGGTCTTTCCTAACCCTGGTGAGAAAGGTCAGCTTGTTTATTTTCCTCCTAAGTAGAGCTGTCTTTCCTTTTCCTCTGCCCTTTAGAAGGTCTGGAGAGTTATCTCAATATAATTCTTCTTTCTCAGGCATTGGGGCTCACGTGGGAGCTCTCCTTAAGCATGGGTTCCCTTTCTTTCAAATACAGGTATTGGTTTAGATCTGGAGTCAAATGCCATTGCTGCCAATTGCTCATTATAAGCAGTAATGTGGTGGTACGAAAGGTTGGGGCTCTATCAGTTAAATACTACTTCAATAATGCTCTATAGCAAACAGTCACAAATCCTAATGGCTCACTCATATACTCATGAGTCCTGGTGCTGGCTGACTGTTGGCTGGGTGACTTTGCCCTGTTCCACTGTTTCTCAGACACCAGGGAACAGCAGACATTCATGGCAATGGCAGAGACTTGGGAGCAGCAATTGGAAACATGCAAACACATGGGCCTCTAAGACTTTGGCTTAAAATAGACACATTGTCCCTCTGCCTCATTTTACTGGCCAAAGCAAGTCACAAGGCCAATCCAGGCTCCAGGGATGGGGTAACAGGTTCCACCTCTGTGTGAAAGGAACTGCAGTCTCATGGGAGAGGGCATGAATAAAGGGAGAGATGAAGAATTAGGACCATGAATGCAATCAATCTGCTGCAGACTCCCCCCATGTTTACCCCTGGATTTTCTCAGTGTCTATTCCAATGTATTCCTACATGTCAAGCTTTTTTTCCCGGTGTCGTTTGGTTTCTGGACATCTTCACTGTTTTCACCCTAACTACAATTGCCGTAGTCTGCCAGGTGAGTCCCAAGATTCCTGGTTTTTCCTTGGCATTCTTTCTGTTTTCTAAGACTGTTAAGGAAGTATCCTTAAAAAAAAAAAGATATTTTTGGACATTCTTAGGAAATGGAGCAAGAGAGAAAGCAGATTCGTGTGCTCATTTTGCTACTCTGATTCAATCTCCTCTGCTGTCATTTTCAATTCTCAGTTAATATCTATCTTGGTCGGGGATTCCGATATAACAGGCTTATAGCACCTGAAGCATTAAACACAACTGGCATTTCAGTGTTCCGACAGTCACAGTTGTATGCTGAAGCTACAGAAAGCGAGGTGGCTGAAAAATCACTCTTTCCCAGGTGAGGGATTTAATTAAGCAGCAAGGTTGAAAATCAATGTGGAAAAATCTTCTAGGCTCCAGCAGATTTTATTTAACCCAGTAACCTAAGAAACTGTGTGTCAGTATCAAACATGATGACTTGGCTGCTGGTTTGGTAGCAATTGCAAATACATAATAAAGCTGGAGACTGGGGGAGGTACTGTTCCTGAGGGTGAAGGAAGAGACTGCTGAACCTGTCCTTGGATTTTATAGTCTAGCTAGAGACTCTGTAATGGGCCCAGAAGTGAATGGTCCAGAGTGCATGCCCCATGTTAACCATACGTTAGAATATGGCACTTACTGGAATAGAGGCTTTAAGTTTATAGAAATACCAGACATACTCCTGACAGTGTGAGATGGATTCTAGCTTGTTCTATAAAAAGCTCCACCAGTGTCAGAAAATTGCTTGGTGAGTGAGTATAGTTAAATGTATTCTTTTTTTTTTTTGAAGGGAGGGTTACTAGGGATTGAACTCAGGAGCACTCAGCCATTGAACCACATCCCCAGCCCTATTTTGTATTTTATTTGGAGACAGGGTTTCACTGAGTTGCTTAGGGCCTGGCTTTTGCTGAGGCTGGCTTTGAACTCAGGATCCTCTCAGACTTCTGAGCTGCTGGGATTACAGGCATGTGCCACTGTGTCTGGCCTCAACCATAATTCTTTATTTTTATTTTTCTGTTTGTTTACCTGATCATCCAACAAATATTTACAGAATGCAGATTCTGAAAGAGCCATTTTACTAGGCGGTAGGTGAACTATGGTGAATAAAATCCTCACTGGAATGAATATTATGGATACTAAGTAAGTAAATAGTTAACAAGACATTTAATAAATATATAACTAATAACAAATGCATACTGTATATGCATGATCAATGCATACACAATTGTAAATTGTCCCAAGGGCTATGAAGGAAATAAATGAGAGATAGCCATAAAGAATAAAAGTGGCCACCTACTGAGATTAGTCGAATAGTCTAAACCTCTGGAACAGACAGTTAATACCTCTCTTCACTGCAGGGAGGATCTTTCTCTGGGGCAACAACTGCTTAACATCTCAATGAGCAGACCTGTGGCTGTGGGATTTGTATCCCCCCTGCCTATCCAGGTACCACCTAACAATCTCAGCATTCTTTCCCACTGGCTGCACTCAGAATCCTTTCCACTCTGTAATACTTTTTTTTTTTTGTAATGTGTTGATCAGTTTTGAAGTCCTACAGGCTGGTTCATTCCCTTCTTAAGCAGCTGATTAAGTCCATACCCTTAGCCACTTCCCTTCCCAAGGCTCTCCCACTCTGGATCATTGTGCACCAGCTTTACCCACCTACCCTGGGGTCGGACCAGACAATGAGGGAAAGGCCTATGTTTTTGAGTCTATAAATTACTCAAATTAGCCCCTCTATAGGGAGCCCAAGCAAACCCCATGGCTTTCCATGCATAAACTGCCCCTGCAGCTCCTGGTGGTTGTTTCCCTGACTCCCAGGCACAAGCCCCATGTGGCTCTTCTTAGCAGCCCTTCCCTCCTAGTCCTTTCTTAACTTAGTTCTCTTCTGCCACGGTGCTGGTGTGCTGTGTTGTGCCACCAAAGAACTAAATTAAAACATTGTGCCAAGCAGCTTTTCATAGAGAGGTGAGCCTTGCCACGGGTCCCTGGGGAGCAGAGGTCTCTAAT